TTTTATACTTTTGGAAAAGGAAAACAGTCTACCAAATATTGATAGTATTCTTACTAAATGTTCTTGAAACATGTTCTAGACTCTTAAGAGATAATTAGTAATACTTGATTACTAATCATTCTGAAAGGATGTTCTAGAACCATATTGAACAGTTAGTAATAATTTCTTACTAAACATAAAATTGTAATAACTAACTATTGCTACTTTCTAAATTATAGCATTTTTCACTCAATTCTAAAAACTTTTATGTAAATTTTACCCGGATACCTATCCAGGTTGAACACTATAAATAAAACTCAGAAAATCACAATTAGTTGGTTTCGTGGTCTAGTTGGTTATGGCATCTGCTTAACACGCAGAACGTCCCCAGTTCGATCCTGGGCGAAATCAATTTTTAACTATTGTTTGGGCTTTGTCGTATATAATGATTATTTTTAATTATAACCATAGATGAGCAGTTTAACAACAGCAACTCTGTTTAACATCGAGTGAGTCTATAATCACGACAATGATAATCCAACATATATAAATGGAACAATATTTCATTTATGAATATAATTGTTTCCATAATTTACTTTATATATTTTTATATAAGATATAAAAAGATCAGACGACTATAAGTTGATTTTGTAATATAATAAAATTTGTTCAGTTAAATAGAAGATGTCTAATTTACAATTTTCCCATCATAAACAAACACCGACCTGAACTCTACTATGTCTTCTTCAACTCAGCTTCGATTTCAGACATGGCTCATTTAAGCTCCATATAGACCCTGTTAAAAGTGTGATTGGACTAAAGTGGTTGAACCAGTTATTTATAAATTATAGTAGTTTACCAGTACCTTGTATTTTTTCATTTGGTATCTCTGTCACGTTCCAATGTGGGATAGCAACCGGAACACACATTCAACAAAATCAAAGAAGCATAGTTGCTATCATGTAATAAATATTTTATTTATAAAAACCATATTTACTCAATTTTTCCAAACAATTACTATCATTCCTCTTCAGATATAATGAAAATTATGTATCTACAGTATATCGAGGTGTACCCATGGGATTATAAACCCCATTTCATCTCTGTAATAGGCATCGATATATAAGAAAATTTGATCAAAAATCTATTTATAGAAAACAAAATTAAAATTGATAAAAAAATTTATATAAATATCCTATCTTTGTAAGTATATATATGTTTGTTTGTGTGTGTGTGCGTGTGTTTGTATGTATATCATTGTGAAAATAGATCTATTTCATAGAGAAGACTTCTGGAGCTTCACCTTCTGGGCCAATATATTTTTGATCTCTCCATGGACCGATATCAGACAAATATAACCCACCAGTAGCCTCGTCGACTTCGGATTTACCACCAAATTTAGTTGGTAAGTTTTCAGCAGGGATTTGTTTCAACAATTCCTTTTGATAAGAAGAACTTAAGATGAAAATCTTTGAGACGGTAACAGGATCCAAAAATGGTTTAAACAATCTGAAAGCAGTAGAGAACCCAAATGGAGCATTGATCATGTAGAACTTACCCATACGTTCTGGGTAGAAGTTCTGACTGATGTAAGAAGCTTCTCTAACGTAGTTTAAGACACTGTAAGCACTAGAGATGGAGATACCTTTTAGATCCATGATTGTACAGGAGGTTTCGACCAAATAACCAGCTGCTCTAGAACAAGCTGGGACTCTGTATTTAGCGACAGATTCATATTCCCAAACCAAATTCTTCAACATACGTTCTTCAGTAGTGATCTTAATCATTTCTGGTAAATTGACAGCGCCCAGTTCTTCAAAATAACATGGACGACCATCTTTATCAGTCTTATGATAATATTGTGGGTAGAATTTAGCAACAAGAGGCTTTTCATCATAATGGAAATCGGTTAAGATAGTGTTAGTACCATATTCTTTTCTCCATTTTTCACAATTTTCAAACATTTCTTTGGCTAAAGCAATATCGAATTTTCTTGCTCTTAAGAAACGTAATAGAGTAGCATCATCCAGACGTTCATCAAAACCAGCATCTTCTAAGGCCTTTCTGAATTCTTCTAAAGCGGTCTTTTGTTCTGGTTCTAAATTACCTGGAGTACCAGGTAGAGAACCTTCTTGACATTTTTGTGGATATGAGTCTAACAATTCTTGTTCTTGAGCCTAATCATCAAAATTAAAAATTAAAAATAAATAAATAAAATAGTTAGTAAAACAAACAAACAAATAAATAAATAAGTAAAAAATTGAGTCTAGTGTAACTGAATGATCGTGATAATGGAGTCAGTCTATCATCAAATATATATGATGTAGATCAAAATCGTAAAAATGTTTCTCCTATCTCTAAAATCGATCTAACTAGTCACACAAAACAAAACAAAAAGGAAATATCACATACGCTAACCATTGTAGATAAAATAGGAACAGTGTCTTGATCTTCCTCTTCTAAACAAGAATAACAATAAGATAACTACCAGGGACTAAAAAAACACAACTGATCAAATAATCTCTCTCTTAAGTGATTGAAATGGCCTATATGACTGGCAAAAGACTTCCATTACTCTTAGAATCTCATTTCCCAGTCTCTGTGTGCAATGCAAAAAGTGATTACGTACATTGACGATGTGAAAGAAAAGCTCTCGTGTCAACTGGAATAGTTACTGTAACAACAAACAAACAAACAAACAAACAAAAGACGAAAGATTTGTGATTTTGAACGAAAATTTTTTTGGGAAAACGAAAAAAAGGAAAAATCTGCGGTATTTTCGTATTTTTGCGTCATGGAGGATTCGAACGGCGGCAGAGGGAGAGACAGGAACGCGACACGAAAAATTAGTTTTCAATACATATATAAAAAACATCCATGGATAGTTAGAACACTAACTTATATTTAAGTTATTAGTTTGGAGTTAGGAGGGTACTTTCAGGGTGTTAGCGAGCTGGTAGCATATATATCTACACTATGTCAGAGGTGCCGGTATCCGAGTTTACGTTTGGGAAGAGTCTGCTGTTTGATTTTGACGGTAATGCTGATGCTGAAGGGACCTCGAATGATACTGAACAATTATTACAATTTATTAGTGGTGATGGCTTAAAAGTATCTATGAAGAAGAAGAAGAAAGAGATAAATAAACAAAATGGATATGGTGACGATATCCTGGGATTGAATCAAGCTAACAGCGAATGGAAACAGGATGATTCTTATGGTATAAATATCAGTGCATTGCTGGATAGAATAGAAGCTCGCAGTAATGACACTGAAGTGACTTCAACGGCAACAACACACACTCACCACGATCATGATAAACACGCTGCAGATAGGGACCATCAATTGTGGGTTGAACGGTGGCGTCCCAAGAATTTCTTAGATTTAGTAGGGAATGAAAAGACGAATAGAAGAATCTTGAAATGGTTAAGAGATTGGTCACCCGTAGTATTCAAAGAACAGATAGGGAAAATACCTTCGTTTAATGAGAAAGATCAGGACCAAGAACCTGACCCACTAATGAGACCCAGGAGGAAAATTCTTCTGATACATGGATCTCCCGGGATTGGTAAGACCTCTGTGGCTCATGTTGTTTGTAAACAAGCTGGGTTTCAAGTAACTGAAATTAATGCAAGTGATGAACGTGCAGGTCAGGTGGTTAAGGACAAAATCCATAATACTTTGTTTAATAAGACATTACATAAGAAACCCGTGTGTCTAGTTGCAGATGAAATTGATGGTAGTGTAGAGAATGGGTTCGTCAGAGTATTAATCGATATTATAAATAAAGATATCAAAGCTACAAATAAATTGAGATATATGCAAGCAAATGGAAATAACAATAATACTAATCATACATTTAAATCAAAGGGTAAGAAAAAGAAGAAAAGTGCAAATTTATTGTTACGTCCAATTATTGCAATTTGTAATAATATATATGCACCAGCATTAGAAAAATTAAAACCATATTGTGAAATTGTTGCCTTTAAGAGACCCTCAGATTCGGCAATACAAGAAAGATTGTTAGATATTTGTGACAAAGAGAAATTGCAATTATCAGTTAAGACACTAAACGATTTGATCGATCTTTCACAAGGTGACGTCAGAAATTGTATTAATAATTTGCAATTTATGGCCACGCAAAATAAATTCAAAAATGTGAACCCAAAAGGATCATCAGAAAATGGGAATAATTCAAATACTTGGGAATCTAGTAGTAAAGATTTATCAATGTCATGGTATCTATTAGTCAACAGATTATTCAAGAAAGATCCACATAGTGATGTTAAAGAACAATTCAAAAAATTATTGCATGAAGTAGAGATGAATGGTAATTACGATAGAATCTTGCAAGGTTGTTATACTTTGTTCCCAGCTGTAAAATATTCTGATAGAGGTGTACAAAAACCCAAAGAAATTGCAGATTGGTTATATTTCCATGATTTGATGAACCAATCATTATATCATCATAATGGTGAATTGATACGATATTCAGCTATCGTACCTTTAGTATTTTTCCAAAATTTTGGGGATATTGCTAATAAAGAAGACTTAAGAATTAAAAATATTGAATTCCAAACTCGCGATATAAGTAGAGCAAATCTCGATATTGCTAATCTCATAATATCTAATATATCCACCGAAGCACCTACTGTTGCAGCATTTATTAATAAAAACTCTTTGATCTTTGAAATATTACCATACCTTGATTATATGATATCTAGTGACTTAACCAGGACGAAAAATTTAAAGACTAAAAATATTATAGCTGCCGCATTGTTGGCAATATTAAAAGAGTTTCATTTAGAATTATTACAAATACAACAAGAGGCATCGGAAAGTAGGCCAGTATTGGGTATTAGTCCGCCAATTGATAAAATTGTTCTCTTGGATCCTCATAGAATGAAAGAACTTATTACAAAGAGACCATTAACATACAATTTATTGTTAGCGAAATACCAAGAACAACGGGTTTTGAAAAGACATATATCAGAAACTACAAAGGAGAAAGAAGTTATTGAGGAGAATAAAAATAAAATGCAAAAGACAAATGCCAACTCTATTGAATTTTTTAAAAATCAATACGAAAATATCAATAGTACCCAACAACAACAAAAAGAAGCTAGTCATAATGCGAATTCTGGTAACCAAGAAAGGAATTCCACTGAAACTCACGATGAACTTAGAATTTGGGTGAAATACAAAGCTGGGTTTTCGAATGCGGTCAGGAAGAATGTGTCATGGGATGCCCTTTGGCACTAAGTATATACTCAGTATTTAAGACTAATCTACTGGCTATATAATTACTTTATGACTCAAATAATGATTAATATACTGGTGCATCGCGATATCTCTCTGGAAATTGTGTTTCTGAGAATATGATCGCCAATAATTCTTCGAAACTTTTTCCTAACTATGAACTAATTTGTCGAATGTCGGATCGTTAGAAAGAATATTGAAAGCAGTTGTTCTAAATGCATTGTTAGTTTTGTACATGTTCAACCAATGGGATGGTTTGTCAATGTTAAAATGTAACGGCAGCACTAAAAAGGTTAATATTAGCTTAACCTATCTGAAGGAGAAGGTAGCTAATATAAATAGAATTTAGAGTGTACTGCACTGCCGTATATATAATAGCACGTGATATATACTGCATAATGTTGTATTTATTTCCCCTACATGTAAACGTAGGTTTGAAATCGAGAAGATACGATTAGTATTCGAGTTGAAATTATCGGACATAGTTATAGATATTCAAATGTACAATCTTGTAGTTTTATTTAATGTTATATAAAGTAAGTCTGTTATAATATAGAAAGTAGCAATACTTGGTTATTACAATTTTATGTTTAGTAAGAAATTATTACTAACTGTTCAATATGATTCTAGAACATTCTTTAAGAATGATTAGTAAGCAAGTATTACTAATTGTTTCATAAGTGTCTAGAACATGTTTCTAGAATGTTTAGTAAGAATACTATCAATATTTGGTAGACTGTTTTCCTTTTCCAAAAGTATAAAAGGACCACATATTCTAATTTTATATATATACAATCTTCCTTATATAGACTTACTTTATATAACATAAAATAAACTACAAGATTATACATTTGAATATCTATAACTATGTCCGATAATTTCAACTCGAATACTAATCGTATATTCTCGATTTCAAACTTACGTTTACAAAGTCTATATAAGGAAGATTGTATATATATAAAGTTAGAATATGTGGTCCTTTTATACTTTTGGAAAAGGAAAACAGTCTACCAAATATTGATAGTATTCTTACTAAATGTTCTTGAAACATGTTCTAGACTCTTAAGAGATAATTAGTAATACTTGATTACTAATCATTCTGAAAGGATGTTCTAGAACCATATTGAACAGTTAGTAATAATTTCTTACTAAACATAAAATTGTAATAACTAACTATTGCTACTTTCTAAATTATAGCATTTTTCACTCAATTCTAAAAACTTTTATGTAAATTTTACCCGGATACCTATCCAGGTTGAACACTATAAATAAAACTCAGAAAATCACAATTAGTTGGTTTCGTGGTCTAGTTGGTTATGGCATCTGCTTAACACGCAGAACGTCCCCAGTTCGATCCTGGGCGAAATCAATTTTTAACTATTGTTTGGGCTTTGTCGTATATAATGATTATTTTTAATTATAACCATATATATCTATATTCCCTGGATTACCATAATATTTTACATTTTAATGTTATTTAAGATAACTTTATACATAATGAGGACAGCTCCATACATATTGCGTTCTTTCTTTAAGGAAAATCCCGTTGTACTGATGGTTTCAATGAGACGGTATATTATCACTTTTTACTTTTTGTTTACAGGACATCAAATTGACGGTCATTTTCCAGTAAAGTCTAAACATAATAATTTATATAAATTAATAAATAAAACAAACAAATCATTTTAAAAACACCATCTTGTACTGAAGCAGACATAATAGAGTTAGATATTGATTCGTTCATTTTATATAGTGGTAAGTAGAGAGGAGTAGGTGTAGACTGAGTACTAATGTTTAAAACAAAGCAAGTACTATTTGTTATACTTTTCTTATATTTGTAAGTGGTTTTTTATATTGTTTATAATTTATAGAACGAATAGAATCTAACTTCGAATGTAAGTTCAGAATTCTTTGTCTCTATATATATTATTTATTTTATCGATATTTCGTTTCTTCTTGTTACCTAAACGATTGTTAAGTAATATTTGTTTCATAATATGACGCGCTTCATAACATATTCGAGATATATTGATCCCACATAATTTCTGTCACATCTAATACCACTAACTAAAGGTGAATGTAGAAATTTTAAAGTTAAAAAGGTGTAGTACAATTTCCAATAGGAAAATATACCAATTCTCACAACGAGATCTACGATTATTTTCCTTACATGTTATTTAAAAATATACATCAATAACTCAAATAGATCAGCAACCTTAATCTGTGTTAAAAATAAATTCTTATATTAACGATATTAAAAATTTCCATATCCACATTAATGGATTTCCGTACTACACATAATATAATTGGTACGTCTACGATGTGTCACCAACACCAGAAAGTTTTACACGCACTCTTTATAGCAGTTCAGCAAAAAGAATTGAATGACTGGGACCAAACATATCATTAAAGTCATCATTAAGCACTCTTAATAATTGTAATTGTAAACTTCTGTGAATGTGATCTCTTCTATTTATTATTCCTTCAATAGTGACAATAAGACTACAGTGTTATTGCACTTAACATATTCTGTCGCGAGTGAGCCTCTTCTAAGAAAACGAAAATAAAATATTTCTTGACGCGTTTGTTTTGATTCATTTAAATCAATAATAAACAAATAAATAACACCATCAAGTTGGGGAAACATCAATATAAAGATCTAGTGTTAAAAAGAGATCACTGGTTTAATCATATTCTCGTTTTGAAACACAACCGAATACTGAACTAATATATATTTAGAGTTGAGTAAAATGACGTCAGAGACAAAAGCACAGCTCAAGTTTGATAAAACCATTATTTCTTCCTCGGAGCAATTAATCTCGACTTCCACTTTGTTAGATCGTATAGCAGAATTACATGATGAACTTTCTGCTTTAAACCAGGAATCCATTGACTTGTCCAGTCTTGATCGGTATCGTGATGATCTGATTAACAGGAAATTACTAAAACATAAGGATACTGGTGTCAGAGCTTTTGTTGCCTGTTGCATTAGTGATATCTTAAGATTATACGCACCCGATGCTCCTTATACTGACACGCAACTAACAGATTTCTTCAAATTAGTATTGGTACAATTTCAACAGTTAGGCGACCCAGAAAATGGTTATTACATTCAACAGAAATACTTAGTACTCAAACTTTTAGAGTATCGTTCAATTGTTTTAATTGCAGACTTACCTACCTCCCATAAATTAATTGAAGAATTGCTCAGCATCTTTTATAATGAATCCTTACATTTTGATACTGCCTTGTATAATATAATGGGTGGGATATTGGGTGAAGTTATTTCTGAGATAGATTCCGTACCTATGCCTGTCTTAAAAATTATATTCAACAAATTTTTAACTTATAATCCAGATGAATTACCTCAAGGGTTAGCCGTTGCATCTAATTGTGGGTACGAATTAAGTTTATTGCTATGTAACAATTACACAAGTAGAATGAGCAGACAATTGACTAGGTATTATTCTGAAATTCTTTATAGCGTTACTAATGATAAGAATGATCAACACAGTTATGAAGCTAATATTAAATTGAGTAGAACAATCGAAAAACTTCATAAATTAGTAGTAAGGTTATGGGAAACAGTCCCTGATATGGTTGCATCGGTAATGGGCTTTATCTATCATGAGTTGTCATCACAAGATGAGATTGTTAGAAAATTAACTACAAAATTAGTAGCTCAGTTGTTAGTCTCCAAATCTGATATAAACTTTGTTACTACCCAGGAAGATACGTTTAAAGCATGGCTGTCTAAGATTGCAGATGTGAGTCCCGAAGTTAGAATTGAATGGATCAAATCCATTCCAAAAATTATTATGAAGAGGGAAGATATTTCAGATGCCATCGGTAAAGGTCTCGCTAAAACTTTCATTGATGCAGACTATCGTGTCCGAAAACTATCTGCACAAGTATTTGACGAAGTCCCTGTATCTCAAATATGGAGAACTATCAAAGAAGCCTCAGTTTATACATCGTTATTACATTTGACCAGGGAGAAAAATAGAGAAGTTAGAGAACTATGTATTAAAGCTGCTGCTAATTTTTACTCTAAATCGGTCGATACGGTGGAAAAGACTTCAGATAACGAAGATATTTGGGATATCGTGGAGAACATACCAAACACCATGTTCAATTTGTATTATATCAATGATTTCAACATCAATGAGCAAGTAGATCATATGATATTCGAATATTTATTGCCTCTTGAAGTTGATGATACTAAGAGAGTCAATAGATTGATAACGGTAATGTCACATTTTGATGACAAAGCATATTCATCCTTTTTCGCTTTCAATAAAAGACAAATACAGATGTCGTTAGCACTTCGCAAATATGTTGAATTTTGCCAAATTCTAAATAATGATAATTCAACTAATATCGAAGGGAACAATATGAATGATGAGGATAATCACCACAATATTACAGAAATTACAATTAAGTACCACAGGACTATTGATTGGCTATCTTCAAGTATGGCAGAGTCCCAAAAAGTGTCTGAATCCTTAGAGATCCTGAAAAAAATGAACGATCCAAGGATATTTTTCTTAATAAAGAGTTGCATTGCCACTGAAGTTCCTATTATAACTTTAAAGAACTGTTTCAAAGAATTATTCAATAAATTACGTGATTCGGGTCTTTTCAGAAGATATAACATTCCTACAATTTCAACAATCATGCCAAGAGACCTGGCGTCACACATTGAGGTTATTTTATATAGGTCAGCTCCATTAATATACAATGTATCAAATGTAGCAATGTTCCTTAATCTTTCAAATAAGTACAACACTGAAGAAATCGAATTAAAGAGAAAGTTGCTTGATGAGGTTTCTAGAGTTAATCCATCCTTATTCAAGGATCAAATAAGAACGTTGAAAGATAACGTAAAGGAATTAGACATATCCGGGGATAGCTCGAAAAATGATATTTCAACATTGAGCGAAACTTTGAAAACTCTCTATAAGATCTCAAAGGCATTACAAGATCAAGTTGATTTTGATTCTTTTTTCCTCTCAAAGCTTCATGATTTTGCCATAGAGGGTAACCCTATAATATCCAAATACGCTACTAAATTAATTTCATTGTCCCCAGATAATGAACAGGAAATGGATCGCTTAAAGAGCTATATATTACCCTTACAAAAAGAGAAAGACTCGTTTTTTACATCCCACCTTGTCGTTTTAATGGAAATTTTCAAATATTTCCCAAACATTCTTGAGGAATCCTCAATAGACATTGTCAGCTACCTTATAAAGGAAGTTTTACTGACAAATTCTGTTGTTGGTGTTATTGATAACGAGCTTGAATGGGTAAACGATCTTGTTCTGAATGACTCAAAATCCGGAGATTATTTATCATTGACTCCAAAAATATATACATTAAAGCTATTCACCAACAAGTTAAGATCGATCGCTGATAAAGTGGAAGATGACAAATTATCAAATAGTTTTGCTCAGAAGATTGTCAAACTATTCTTTTATTTAATAGCAAGTGGTGGTGAACTTGTTCCTGAGACTAATGAAGAAAATTATCCAACACCAGAGAGCTTTCAAAAGAGATTAAGACTTACAGCAGGGTCACAGTTACTAAAGCTTGCAAAAATATCAAATCTAAACGATTTTGTCAGATCATCTGATGTCATAAAGTTAATAAACTTGGTTGAAGATGAGTCGCTCCCAGTCAGGAAAATTTTCTTAGATAAACTTAACGACTACATTGGTAATGAATTGATTTCCATCAAGTTTTTACCTTTGGTATTTTTCACTGCTTATGAACCAGATAAAGAACTGAAGGCAGCTACTAAGACATGGATCAATTATACGGTTAATAAGGAATCATTTAAAAAGGGTACATTCTTTGAAAGAGTCTTACCTCGTTTGATCCACGCCATTGCACACCACCCAGATATTGTCGACGGCTTGGATGCTAAGGAAACCGATGAAGATGAATTTAGAAATGCTTTGACTACTGCTGTTGATTATCTAATTTTTTACTTTGATTCGATTGCTGCTCAAGACAATTTTAACCTACTTTATTATTTATCTGAGAGAGTCAAGAATTATCAAGACCACGTATCCGAAGAGACTGACGAAACTGAAGGTGCTCAGGATAATAATGCTACAGAGAATACTCATTCTAGTGATAAGATGTATATGATCAGTGAGTTATCTCAAATGATATTGTTACAGTTGAAAGAGAAAAGAAACTGGCAACATTCACCATATCCTGGTAAGTTAAATCTACCAAGTGATTTATTCAAACCGTTCCTTTCTTTGGAAGAAGCCAGAACATCATTTAAGACCTATATTGATGAAAAATACATCGAGTCCTTGAAATCTAATATCAAGATTAAAGTTGGAAAGATTGTTCATGCATCTCAAACTCAAAGGCAAAGGGCCCAGAAAAAACTGCTTGCTAGCGAATATAATCAAAATTCTGACAAAAATAAAAAGAATACGAAGAGATCACAGAGAAAAAGAGGTCGTCACGATATTGACAACGACGACGACGATATGTCTGATGAGAATAAAACCCCATCAAGTGTACCTGTTAGAAAGAGTTCTAGAAGGATAAGAAAAATTAATTATAAGGATGATTCCGATGATTCCGATTAATCTATATATATAATTGATATCAATTAAAAATTCTCTCTATTCTTTGCAGACAAGAAAAAACATAATGCATCTGATTTATTAACAATATAGATTTATCTATAACTATATATTTATATATATATATGTCTATATAAAAATTGCCAGAAAACAAACTAAATATTAGTATTCAGTTATAACGATTGGGAAGGTTCCATTATTTCTCGAATCCGAAGAATTTCATAACTTCATCCTTTGGTTTGGATTCCATCAATTTTTTTAGAATATGCAATTGTGCACTCTCAGTAGTAGAAAGTGTACTTGGGTTATTTATGGAATCTGAATAATTTTCTTTATGATTATTCAATTGTTTAGTCGCAACGTCACAAAGATCTTTGAAATCCCACATCCTCTTTAATGTGTTATTGGTGTTATGACTACTAACATTAAAGTAAAGCAACGGAATGACATCGGAGGTTCCGTGACAATTTTTAGAAGCCAATAATTTATCAATCAAGTGTTCCTCCATTTTAAAATTTCTAAGTCTTTCAGCTTGTTTGAAATTATAAATTTTACTGAAAAAATCCAATTGAATTGATTTTTCTTGAATTAATGGAATTGAGTTATTATCATCACCCGTTGCAATTTTTTTAAATGTTTCAGTCATCTCTTTTGTACTATCAGATCGTATTTCATCCAATTCAATTTCGATATCCCCATTATTATGGAAATCATAGAGTAAATCTGGTTTGAATAATTTCTGATTTCTTTTCTTTAGTCTTCTATTTATTTCAGTATTAGCATGCAAAGGACATTTCCATTTTGCACCAAGATTCTTTAAAGAGGCTCTTGGAATATCTGGTACACAATCTAAATGCCATGGTGTATTGCAATAGTCACATTTAATTAATAGTCTGGAGTCCTCTGGGCATTCCCATGAACCAAAACGTGTGGTACCACATCTATAACACAATAGAAACGTTTCATCTTCACCAAGGGTATTTACAGTATCATTTTCATAGTGATTTTCTGGGTTATAAGCGTCCAGTTTTGATACACTTTGACCATATGGAGCATTGAACAAAATTTTATAAGGGAGTTCAGGTTTTTCCGTTGAGTTTGAATATTGCCCCCTATCACCAGTCCTTACGTAACTAAAAGTATCCTTGATATGTTTAGGTAACATGAATTGTCTTGGATTATAACTCTGACTTTGAAACATTAATTTTGAAAATAATTTTGAGCCACCATTTGCGACTGAGGCCTTTGTAAATTCTCTTTCTCCTTTCATCGTCTGAGTTGAGTTTGGATATAATTTTTTAAATCTACAATTTGAACATGACCAATCACCTTCAGGTAGGTTATCAGGATCTACAGGTGGATCGAGACATAAGAAATGAAATGATTTTGGGCATGTATCACAACATAGGAATGAACCTGTCTGTAAACACGAAGAACAAAAATCATCATTTTCTATTAAGTTATCCACAGTGTTTTCCTCTTCAATATTAGGTGATTCGTGGTAATTTATCCTCTTTTGATGTCTTAAATTGTTTGGTTCTTGTGAGGATTCCGTACTACTACTACCACTAGCGTTATTATTGCTTCCATTAGGTCTTGGTTTCGAGTTGCTCTTGTTTAAGATATTTTGATTAAACAACTGGCTATTCTTAATCTCAGCACTCTTAATCTTTACATGTGGTTTTGGTAACATGACATCGGCTTGAACTTCTCCTTTCACTGGGGAAGAAGGTGATGTGATGATCCCGTCACCACTTTCACTAAGGTTATTTAGTTGCTTTTTATTGGAAATGGAAAACCTTATAGTACTAGGTTTTGTAATGTTATCTGATACATTAGTACGCAATGCTTTATTATAAGCGTTTAACGTTTCCCAATTACTAACTGTATCATTATCTTGCTTATTTGATGCCACCAAAAGTCCTTCCAAATTATTATTACTGTTATTACTACTACTATTATTATTACTACTGTTCGAAACAGTTGCGGATTTCTTATAATTCCATAAACTGTCTTTCTTAATCTTTGGTGTAGGACCCTGACTTAAAGGTAAACCTGTAGCTTTATTCAAAACATCATTTGGAAGAGTATTCGATTTATGGGACGAACCATGCATTGTATTATTATCATTATCATTATTATTAAGAACATTATTTTCGTTCGATTGCTGGTTTCCGTTAGACATATCATTCATCCCGATCACGTTCCCTTTCTTATCATATACATATAACGGTAGCAACGGCTGTATACTCTCAGAATGCAGTTCTTGCTCATGATTTGCTCCAGTCTTTCTATCATGTTTGTCTTCCACAAATGCCTGGATGATCTTCCTCTTCTTCAAATCGTAGTTCACATTCAACGATGTGGCCCTCTTGGGTCTATGTCCTCTATCCTGTGCTGAGGGTGTCTGAGATTCCATTTGGTTTCGATCCACTAAATCTGGAATTGTGTATGCACGTATAAGTGTGTGGATGAGAGTGAACCAGTGAGTAGATATCCCTTTTATGTCCTTCTCTAAAGTGCTGCTATCGTAACCTTTTCACTCTTTGTCTTTCTCTTGTTTTTACTATTTTTCGTGTCTTTTTTCCAATTTTCTTCCTTTTCTCTCTGTTTTTGGTGATGGATATTTTTTCAGTTGCTGAGATATTGGCAGACAGATACAACAAGACAAGACAAGACAAGACAGTTTGGACAAGTAGTAGTAGTAGTAGTAGTAGTAGTTCCAGGATATATATACGATGCATAGAGAACATCAAGGATAGAGAATGTGGCAGATCTAACAAAGCAAACATAGCACTTAATTGAAATTGAAAGTAACTTGAAGCTATCCGAGGAGTCATCACTTGGGACGACCAGCCAGTACTTTTCGCTTTCTAAAATGTTCAATGAGAACCAATCATTACAACAACAACAACAACTACTTCAATAGTCTTTGCCACTCTTATGTTCTTGTATTGTGTGTAGAATGAGTACATGTATAGAAAGCATACCAATACGAGGAAGGATGGATGCAGAATTACAGGCTATCAGAGATGCCCGTCTCGCACAGTTGAAAGGAGGTAATGGGAGCAACAGTGCTAATGGTAACGTCTCCAATGGTAACAACAATACAAATAGTGGCAATGCCAATATCGGTTCTTCAATGGCTCCTTTCTTAGAGGCAGGTGCCTTGGAGAGGTTGTCTAGAGTGGCTCTAGTGAGACCAGACCGTGCCACTGCTGTTGAACAATATGTGAAACAGTTGGTCTCAACGGGTCAACTGACACATAAGATCAATGAACAAGAGATTGTACAGATTCTAAATGGTGTGGCTAGAGAACAAAACAAGCAAACAGAGACCAAGATCATCTTCGACCGGAAGGACAAAGGGATGGCCATGCAAGCTGCCACCACCAACAACAAGAACGAACAGTACGATTCTGAGGATGACTTTTTCGACGAATAAGAATCATGATTATCGGGCCCTTGTTTCTTGGTTTCTATATAAGGTTCTATAACTATGTACAATATAATATAAAGAATATGAGATAATCTATATTAGAGATGAATTATGGATGATGATTATGTAAGAATTGAGAATGGAAATTTCTCATTCTGGGGATATCGGTGCGGCTGTTTCTTCGGGAATTTAGTCGATATTACTGGTTCTTTTTTCTTACTCACATTGAGAATTTCAATTGGAACAAATCGAATATATAAAGAGAGAGAGCAAGAGAAAGAATGTGTCTTCAGCTCATTCACGTTGGACTTTCAACCAATATATTTGGAAGGTCATAAGTTTGTACGTATATATATATATTGCCAAAGCAATGTCACAGAATTCTGAAACACAAGTACCCAAGATTAATGTCTCTTTGGAGGAAAATTCCAAGGGACATGAACAAGATGAGCAAATAAAACCTCGTCAGACTAGGTTCAAAATTCCTACGATACAGAACTCTAGGGATGATATGTATCGTCAGCAGCAACAACGACAAAAGGATAAACAGCCAGTGATAATACAACAACAACCAGGTTGTTCTACCCTTGGTAGGCCCAAAGGTGGAGGTCTTGCTAGAATGGGAGGTGGTGAAAGACAAAAAGTTAGATTGGCTCCAGGCCATAGTGCATTGGATTGGAGTGAACTGAATAAGAAAGTGTTACAGGACAAATCTCGAAGTAATGAGTTACTATACGGTCTCCGTACCCTTTTTGAAGATAAAGATCAACTAGCTATATTGGAACGAATTAATTCCGAAAATATGGATACTGTGCTAAAATTATATAGATTCAATATTCCATGCCATTTGTTACATCCGCCATTACGTATAAATGAACAATTATTGCGACTTCATCAGAAGAATGAACGTGAATTTTGGACTGTGATTCATGGGAATGTTTACTGTGTAGGGTCATATATGGAATTTCATCCTGGTGGTTCGGAGATATTGGTTCATTATGGTGAAAAGTTTGTTGATGTAGGGTTTTGGTTTAATAAGTTCCATCGATGGGTGAATTACGAAAAGTTGCTACAGAATTGTTATATTGGTAAATTTGTTAAGGATAAATAAGTAGAATTGATGCTAATGTCACGAACTATATATACTTGTATTTATTCCATCTTTTGTACATATGAATTGATTCGTTAAAAAGATCAAGATAAATTTTATTTGTGTATTTATGTGTTTTTAAGTAATTTTAGTTAAAATAGAATAGTTAAAGATAGATAATAAATCTGAGCAGTAATCTCCGTTACACCCGTTCAATTTCATCGTGCCATTCTTTCATCTTTCTAGAATATATTTCACCATAATGAGCCTTTGATTCTTCATCTAGAGCCTTCCATCTGGCAGCAGTAATCCTAGACTTCTCGCCGAAATCTAACATTGGATATTCTTCATTTAATTGAGGTCTAATGGCCATAGAGAACAATACAAAGGGACCTGCAGGTTTCTTAGGTGGCAATGTCTTTGTAAACTCATTCATCACGATCGAATGAGCTTCTAAATTTCTTGCTGCCTCGTCTTTGTATGGTTTCTTCTCTGACTCTGAAAGGGAATTCCATTGTGCAGAGATCAATTTTGTCTTTTCTGGATTTTTCATATCGGGATGACTCTTAGATAAGATTGGTCTCTTTTCTGCACAATACAACATATACGAATTCAATGGTCTCTTTGGTTTATTTTTCATTAACTCATCGATCTTAAGAAGTCTCAATTTAGTAGCTGATGGAATACTATGAGCTGATAGCAATGCGGAACCTGTAGAGAATTGTTTAAACAACAACATCGATGATGATGTTGAAGCGGACGCCAATCTGGTTAATGATAACATTGGTAAAGTAATAAAAATATAATGGCTAATTTATTCCGTCAAATTACGGTATAACTAACTCGAATATACCTCTCTTTTCTTCCTTGTGATGGGGATTAAAAGAGTTGTTTGTTTGTTTATTTATAGTAAAACCAAAAAACCCATAAAAATCCCTTTGTTTCAGATGTGTCAGACGCGTTAAAATCGAGTAAATGGGAGGGTAACCACTGACAATGGCAATGGCAATGGAATTATTGAAAGTTAAAGCAGCACATGTCTCAGGTCCCTTTGTCCTTCAAATACGTTGCATTTATATATGTTCTATAAGGTTGTCAATATGTTGTCAATATGTTGTCTTTCCATGTGTATACGTTCTGATCTCTGTGTATAAAGCGTCTCTCTTCTAACTTTGTGACACATCACGTTTTCCTCTTATGGCTGATCTGTAAACGAAAACACTTGCAAAGGGAGAGAGAGACAAGAGAGACGTTGCCTAGGAATAACCACGACACTACCTATCCATCAGCATGATCTGCCAAGCTATTGTATATATACGTTGACATGACCTTCAATCAGCTCTTCATAGAGTGAGTCCTTTACTTTAAACGGTCGTCACAGCTGGCCATCACTTGGCACGACTGCAGTTTAGCCCTTCGAAACATTTTTCGTACAGACTGCGCCCGATAAGTTCAAAAAGTTGATAATTGAAGAAGGGAATGGGAAGATGAGAGACCCACACATATCAAGAGTTGCAATTCAACATATGCAGATATATTTATATAAACGATGGTTCGAGGCAAATTGAGTCGATTTTAAAGAGACATTCAGCTACAAGAAGCTTTATTCAGATATTATTGTTACCATCATTACACACATAAACACATAGACAAAGAAAGCCCCGTTATAGATTATCAAGATGGCATTAAGTATTAAACAATTCATTAATGTGGCCGGTATGGTTAAGGACCTTAAGAGTTTCAATTTCAGTGTATACGGTAGGTGGTTCGGCTATATCAACATTATCCTATGCATAGCCCTAGGGATAGCGAACCTATTCCATGTGAATGCCGTTGTGGCATTTGGTGTCGTAGCCATTGTACAAGGTGTTGTCATTTTATTTATTGAAGTCCCATTCCTGTTGAAGATATGTCCGATGTCTGATAATTTTATTGAATTTATTAAGAAGTTTGAAACGAACGGTTGGAGATGTGTCTTTTATTTGGTGAATGCAATCATTCAATACTGTTCAATTGCTCTGATGGCTACAAGTCTTATCGTATGTGCTGTAGGATTAACTATATCTTCCATATCATACGCTGTAGCATTTTCAACAAAACAAGAATTTCAAAATACTCACATTATTAAAAATCCAACAGATGATGATTTCCCACATGAAGCTGTTGTGAGAGAAATGTTATAACACAAATAGAAAGATTGATCTTATATATTCTAGATATATAATACTACTACTACTACTATTATATAATTATATAAAGAAAATAGAAAAAAAAATTGAAACTGTAACTATTTTTTTTTTAAATGATGAATATAATATAGTGAAATAAAATAAATTTCGTATGTTGTTATTGTTTTACGTAAATAAAATATGAATATGTAATAATATGTTTGATTTGTTATTGAATATTAGCAAAAAAAAAAGAATAAAAAGGAAGATCATAAGGATATTATTATTATGAGGATGCTGGGCAATCATGCATTGTTTTGGTCTATTAATTTATTTAAGACGCGTTTAACATCCTCTTTGTTGAGTACACCTTCATTCAACAATGTTTTAATGTTGTTACTATTATTATTGTTACAATTTGGACCATTTGATTGATCCAATTTTAAACTATGAATATTGTTAATATGAGTAGTAGATGATTTCTCCCAATGGAAGATAACGTTATGATTCTTTAATTCATCTAATAAATAAGTACTATGTTTCAACTTCATATGTTGCAATAAGTTATCCTTTCTCTTATGTCTTGATAAACACCAAGGACATAAGAAGTGTCTTTCTGCAGAGTGTGACAAAAGATGTCTTTTCAACCAAGATTTCCTTTTGAAGGATTTTTCACAAAGATGACAACCATGGATATGAACCATTGAATTGGATTCATTGACACGATGGTGTAATGTATTATTATTCAAAGAAGAAGAACCCATTACAGTCGTAGAACCTTGTTGATGAGATATACTACCAATTCCACCAAGACGCATATTTTGGTTATGATGATGATGGTGATGACCTAATACATTAACAATGTTTTTACCGTTGATTGTCGTGATACTAGATCTTTGTGGATAGCTGTTTTGTCTCTGTTGTTGTTGTTGTTGCTGTTGTAATAATGGTAATTGATTCTTTACATGATAGGATGTATTTGATGGCATAGAAGTAGCAATGAATGGAACTTTGTACAATGGTTGTTGATTTTGAATAGACATTTGATATAATGGAGAGTGTTGAATATTATTAGAGTTCAAGTTAGAATTATTATTATTAGATGATGAAGATGCAGAAGAGATGGATGAAGAAGGTGAAGTACCATTCTGTGATTGTGAACGCCAATGATAAAGGAAAGGTGAAGAAGAGGATGATGAAGAAGAAGTATTGTTATTAGTAGTAGTACCATTATGGTTATAGAACGATGAAGAGTTCCCAATCACATTATTATTACTGTTTAATCTCATTGGTAATAAATTGTTGGTAGTACTGGTAGTGCTACTACCGCTTTTATCACTACTATTACTTGGACTATTATTTTGATAATTAATAGTATTGTTACTATCTTCATGAATAATAGAGTTATTTAAAATCGAAGGAATCATCCCATTATTACTACTGTTTGAAATTGAACCATTATTATTTTGATAAATTCTTGGCAACGTTTGTTGATATTGATAATGAGGAGATTGCGATTGTGGCAAGAAACGTTGTTGTAACAAAGCATCCTCATTATGACGAGGCGAAGGAATTTGTTGTTGCTGATGATGATTCATAGCATAAGAGGAATAACTATTTCTTGGAGTAGTCGTAGAAGCAGCAGTGGCAGAAATGTTATTAGTCAGAGGATGTAATAAATTTCTTTCGTATTCTTTATTTGGTTGAGCGACTGCAGTAGCAGAATTCCCAGTACCATTAGCAGTATTAGTCCAATAGTTCATTGTGAGGCAGTAAAGTAAAGTAAAAAGATTGAGTGTTTTGCTTATTTGTCAAAATAATAATAAAAAAAAAAGAGAGCAAACTTATGATTGTGTCAGCTTAGATCCCTTAAACTAATTAATATTATGTTATATTATAATTTTCAAACTCTCGGTATATATATTCGAGAGGTGATAAAAAATAATAATAATATGAATGGATCAGTTGACAATGTTTGGTTGGTGCCTATTATGTGTTAACTTTTTAATCAACGAATTACAGGAAAACAATTGAAAAAATGTGAAAAATTTCTCGAGAGAGGTTGAAACTTTCAGTGCAGTGTACTGTTTCTTGTAATATAACTGTACGTTCCTTTAGAACCGATAAATGATTTTACCAAAAAAACCAACAACGAGAGTGATGAGGATGTGTGGGTGTTGTAATAAAATTAGTAGCAGTGAAAATCCCGGGTGATGTCAGACAAATTTATTTATCTAAAACAAACAGAGGCTGTACGAGGTATTCACAGTAGAGGAAGAGATATAAATTTTAAGTTTTGTTAAAAAGCGAAAAATGCGATAGAGATGATGGTGATGCAATATATAATATAATGTGATCTGATCTCTCTTTAGTTAGAATGTTGTGAATATGTAAAGTTGTAAAATATATAAGATTAATAGAAGGAGAGAAAGAACGGAAAGTAAATAAAATGGATAAGTTAAATGGATAAATAATGATATATCCTCTTTACTTATATATTAATCGCTTATGTGTTGTAAATCTAAAATAATTGAAAAAACAACTGGATAGATAAATAAATATTCAAAACGAGAATTCTTGAGCAAGCGTTTGTCGTTGTTTTGTTATGAAAGACACAGGGGGACAGTACAAGATACTGAAAATTGTTATGTTGATACTAAAATAATACCAAAATACTAAAATAAAAATAATAAGGCAATTGCAAAAAACCCAAGAAACCCCTGTAGATTAAATATATAAATCCATTGACATAACTATAGCGTTGTTTGCACAAGAGAGATATATATGAACAACAAAAAAGCAAAAATAAAATAAAAAGCAAAGCATAGGAATAGCCGACTCTCGAATAACTAAATTATTGTGTACATTTGACTGTTATTAGGTAATACATAATATAAAATATATACTCTTGTTCCTTGTGTATGACATATTTGTAGATGAGAAAGAGAGAAGTTGTCTTTTTTTTTTTAAAATGAACCCCTAGGTATAATAGGAAACACGCAAGAATAAGAAGAATACTTGTAGTAAAACTAAGCCTTAAGGTATAATAAAGATAAGGAAAATGTATGTATGTATATATGATCTATTATAATACCTTGAATGAGAGTGGGAAAAGGGTTGTTAGCCTACTATTATGATTTTCGTATCTACCCCCACAATTTCTTATTGAAAGAACAGAGAGAGAGAGACAGAAAAAAAATGATGTACATAAGATGAGATGGGCCAATGAATGAGGCAAATGAAACCTATCTTGTCCTGTTACATGTCGTTTTCCTTTGCTTTGCTTCTGTTTGTTACTCCTTCTCGAGGGGTGCATGAAACAATCTATTTAAATTTGTAAGATTTTAGAGGAAAATTGTTGAGAAAAGGATGTAATGATGACTATATCAATTACTTTCCAGGAGGTTTGCAAATAAGAATAGTCATCGCCCGCTCCAAATTAGGTGAATTGCATACCGAGTCCAGACATTTACGGTTAATTATTATTAATAATTCATTAATAATGAGCTAATGAACTAGTTAATGTGGCGTTAATTCAATAAAACCACGACATTTTAATTTTGGAACGCCTGTCCTCTATAAATAAAATAAAACTGATTGATCGATTGGCCGCAATTATCGGGATGACAGTCCTATCTCTAAGATGATCCCGCACACAACACACCAATTGCTGTTCCAAAGATTTTCTATTCTGTTTTTTCTTCGTGCATTCCCATAGAGAAATAGATTGACAATGCGCCATGCCATGTGAAAGACAGAGCGAGCAAGAAAACTGGTATCGCCCAATTTGTTTTTTTATATCCTTTCAACAGTTATGGAGGTGTAGTCCAGGGGGAATAAGGAAAACTTGTGCGCATTCGCGGCTTTTGAGTTGAGTCCAATATATCAATCTGTGAAAGATATTTTACGTCACCCACTTCTTGTTTTCTACTCTATTATTCTCTCTTTCTCTCACTTGATTTCTGGTACCAAGACCAAGGGCTGACGTAACTGTTACGGATCCGTTTACAGTTCCGCATATTCTTGTGGTAGAAGTGTGTGGGTGCAGGGTGTTTACGGGTATTTTTCATATGTTTATACATGTAGATACATTCAAGGGTTCTTTCCAAGGGTTCTTTCTCTTACGTGGGTGTACGGCTATAGACATCGATATCGATATTTAGAAACTTGCGTTCACACGTATGTCATCTACGGTTCTACACAGTTTGTTCATGATAAACCAGCGGGAGAATTCATCATTTTGTAGTGAAACGGCGGCAAATTGCGGTTTAACGGACTACTTTGACCGATAGGAACCAATCAAAGGGCCTCATTTTTTGCTTGTTTATACAATTGGAACAAACCAATCAAATGCAATTTCAGCTATCTGCTCTCGAGGGTTCCCTCTCCCTCTCCCTCTCCCTCATGCAGGGAACCCATCAGTGACACCGACAATTGAAAACTATATCTTAACAGCGATAATACCTCCTCTTTCTTATTGCTGCTTGCTTGAAAGGAAATTAAGTAATGCAGTAACAGCTTGTTTGTCTTTTTCTCTTTTATTGGGGTGACGCGGAGACACAGTACCTTATTATTGTTACTAACGATACCCTTAACTTATGATTATTTTATGTATTTGAGACATTCATAGCTTCAAATATACGTTCAACGATGACTATTTTCATTTTTACTTATTTAATATATATATGGTTATGATATATACCCTATTATAAAGTTTTGTATTCTCAACTCGGTGTCATTATCGCCCGTTTGGGACGGTTTCTATCCATTTTAGATCGAAATCTCTTACATAAAGTCCCTTTTCCTTTTCCCCCAGAGACAATCATCAATTTTTTTTATTATCGTTTATCGTTTATCGTTTATCGGTAAATAGTATAAATAATATATTGGCCTAATTACTCTCTTCATCGAATTTAACGATTTATTATTCTCTATCCCTACGCTGTTCTTACTACCTCTAGTAATTCGCTTATGTATTATCTTAACAGTGTCTTGCGGTGACCATGGCGTTAATCTCATTCCAAGCGATTCATAAAATTTAATGGCTCCAAGATTATCACTAAAAACTGTTAATTCTATTCCAATAAAGGTTGCATTATTGGAAGATATCTCTTTACTACAATTCATTAAGTAACACTTCAACAATTTATTACCAATCCCTTGATTTCTTACTCGTGATAATAACTGAATTTCATATAAGTATATTACACAACATGGCTTATCTTCATCATACTCATCTTCATTAGTTAACATGAACGACATGAATAATAACGGCTCACCTCCAAGCTTATAACTCACATGGATCAACCCAGGCGTCTTCATCTCGTCAAGCTTGTTATCCTTCCATGGCTTATGATTTTCATATATGATTTTGGATATCTTACTATATTTTTCACCTAAAGTATTGTCTAATATCGATAATAATGCTAATAACTTATCTTGATGGACTCGATTGGTCTCATCATACTCAGTAACATTAGTGATGCTATTAATAAACGCTGGGGAATCGGTGGGCTTCATATATAATACATCACGCTCTAAATATTCAATTTCATTATCACTACCTGTAGTTGGCACTCTTGTGGGAAAATTATTTAACGTAATTTGTAAAAAATCATTAAAGACTTCGGATTCATTCATTATCGGTTACTATATATCCATATATCCCTCTTTCTTCCTAATCAGTACTCATGTATTTCGTTGCATATAGTGTGAGTTATATTGTTATTAGGTATGTATGTATCGAATTTGTCTTCTTCCCTTTCTCGCCTTTTTCTTTCTTTCTTTTATTACGCGTGTTTCAATTAACGCGTTTAATGTCACTGGATTTTGGACACCCTTTATGAAACTGGCTGGATATGCAAAAGGTTGATCGTTTATTTTTCAATCAGGTATAGTTATATGTTATATGTCATATGCCATCGGAATGTACGTTTTTACCGCTTAAGGAAATTTAAAAGAACGACGTATACTCCACTAAGAATGACACAATTTCTTAGAGCATCTTTTCCTGGATAGACACCACATACAAGAATGTTAATCTTCTTCTTCTTTTGAAGTTGAAATACTTTTGCGATTCTTCGATCGACTCGGTATGGTTTTGCGATTCTTGGAAATAGTGAAAACAATATCAACATTCTATTCCATTGTTCGTTTGTTTATTTGTTTGTTTTACAGAACAATAGACTGGCTCCAAGATAACTGATAACGAACAACACCAAAACTCGATTCCCATTGGAAATTTTCTACATTCGTGAAATCCGTTCAGGAACAATCAGTTTCAATTGGATATTGTTTCCCTATCTCTATCATATTCTTTTTGAGTCCTGATGGATTATGTAACATATGTTCTTTTTGTTCTTTCTCGCCCTATCCCACGCTAGACATCCATCCCACGATATCTATTGTCTTATTATATTATGAACTTTTATTTTTATTGTTCTATTGTACTATTGTATATCTATACTAAGAACTTAAAGTAATATCCTAGATGAAGTTTATTCTGGGTTTATGTTGTTTTGCTGAAAACTTTATTATAATGGAGACAAAAAAGAATTAAAAAACACAAGATTATAATTTTAAAGTTTAAACTGATGACATCTTTAGAGTTTGTTTTTGTAATGTTCAATTGATTTAACAAACCGTTTGCCTTCGTTATTGCCTTTACAAGAAAGTCCTTTGTCCTATTAACTTCCTTTTTTTTTAATTTGACATTTTTGCAACCGATAAACTTCCTTAACATTTGTAACTCTGCAAAAGGACTACCCCTCTGACACTCTTTTATTTTGGGATTTTGTTGAGATGAGACTCCCTTAACTATTTCCTTTTTAATAACAAATATTGCACTTTTCAATAATAAATAATTTTAATATACTCTACAGATAAATAGAGATGGCCATCAATTCCAACAAGAAGAAGGTAATATACTTTGTTATGGGTATCCCAATACTTCAACCTACTTTTGAACTTGGTTTAAATTAAGGGGGGCAATAATCAGATTACTCAAGAATGCGATAAATATACATATCCGAGACTATCGATCTTGGAAAGAGAGAAAAAAAAGAGTGGGAGGTTATCACTTAAGACAATAGAAATTAAATTTGTCCAATAGATACAATGTACCTAAACTTAGTAAATATGAATAAAAACTAACAAATTAACACGACCGGGTTAAAAATATTAATGTCATTGTGAGTACGGTTAACCTGTTCTGTTTTTCCATTGTAATTTTTTGTGTTAAATTGGGTTCAAAGTTAATTATTATGAACATTATATTCAAGTAACAGAAAGTCAAAATTTACAAGATTATTATTGTTTTTATTTCTCTGCCAATAGTTGATAAACTTGAACTAAAAAATAATAATAAACAATGAAGACACCATCGAGACAATTCCATTGGGATAATAATACACAAGTTATGTCAAGTTAGACAAGACTTTGAACGGATTTTTATTAGAATCGAGCCCCCTTTTTGTCAGCAAAAAAAAACTTAAATTGCATCATGAATTGGTAAGAAAGTTTAATATTGATGTCATTTTCATTTTCTTTTATATATTTCTTTCTATAATGGTAACAAAAAAACATCTCACTTGTAATAAGATGTTTTCAAAATTACATCTATTCTTAGAACAAAGACCAATAGTTAATAATGTAAATTAAGCTATTAATTTTACAATTTGCATCATAACTAAATTTTGTTTTCTCATTGCTAAGATGGTAATTGTGTGTGTTTTAAGTAAATCTTTTTCCATATTTTTTCTATAGATAGATATCATGATTAACTGCGCACCATACAATAATAAATAAAAATAAGGTATTAAGGACGAGTACAGTAATCTAAATTTGAACATCATTGATTTTTTTTTACCTAATCAGATCTTCATCTTTGCATGACGAAGTAATCAGTCACTAAAGCAACGGGTTCTTTTCAAATTATGATTTTCGTTTTTTCGCATTTATTCTTGCCTTACACTTTTTTTACTTAAGAGAGAAATAATAGACCTCCTTTATGAGATGTGGGGGTAGAGAGAGAAAAGGTAGAAGGACCATGAAATATTGTCGGTGTAACAATATATTGTCTCTAAAACGAGAATGTGACGTAAAATGTATACATAATGACAAAATACAGCAAAACAATCATGTTAAGACAAAGGGCGAGGTTTTAAAGGAATGAAAACTAATCATATGAAGAATAATCCAAGTATATCCCTTTGAAAAAAATTAAGGGAAAGTCATCATCGCCACAAATATACGAACTCGAGTTAATTTAATAAGAGATCACAAACAGTCGGGAAAATAAAATAAAATTCTTGAGAGAATAATGAAGAATGGGATATCTCTTATTTCTTAATTAATTTTTAAATTTATGAAAATGAAACTAAAATGTTTAACAAAAAATATAAACACGTTTTTATGCAAAAATATGCACGATATTTATTTCATGTTTCCAAAAAAAGATGAGTAATGTAATGGATAATCAAATTAATCATGATAAGATATGGAATAGTCTAGAACCTTTTTGGTTCCGAAGGCATGTGGTTATTTATCTCAATTTTTTGTTTTATTGTTTTCCAGTCACTTCTTTTTTGACCCAGTAATGCTTAACAATATATACATACTTTCTTTCACCAGAATATATCGGAAATATCGTTTTCTATTTGTGTATTTGTTTCGAGTATAGTTAAAAGAAAGTGGGATATACGCTGTTTAGAACCAACCAAAGTTGAATATATAATAGAGACAGAGAGAATGTAGTTATAATATGATATAATCGTTTACTATGTTTTAAAGAAAGAAAGAAAATGATCATATGAAATCTATATTGTTTATGGAGATACATCTCTATTCGTGTCTGTTTGTGTTTTTTATTTTAAATATTCAAATATTAATATTGATGTTATTACCAAGACTGTTCTCCCTACTTGTATTATTCTGAAAGGTATCGTTTCTCTCAANAAAAAAAAAAAAAAAAAAAAAGAAGAATATTAAATTCATTTCTTTACCCTTCATTCCTTTCTTCAAGAATGTGTATATCATGATTTACTATAGAGGAATTCTTATTATTCATTTTCTTTTGTTTAAATTATTTATCTTCCTAGATATTGAACATTATTACCTTTAAATTGCTAGAGAAATAATTTATTTGAATTGATAAAACTTTTTTAAACCTTGGAACGTTCCTATTAAAAATAAAAAATAAAACAGCGCTTCTCACTATCAACAAAAAACTTGTGATGATACGATTTGTTTGTTTATAAAGTTTTAAAATTAACTTTAAAACTTTAACCTCTAAAACGAAAACCAAATAGTATTGTTCATATTGTTATTACCAGCTGACCAAAAAAAACTTTAATTTCTTTATTTTTCCATAATTCACAATTTGTCATTTAGTATTGCATGATTGTAATAAAGTTCGTCTTGTGACTATTCTATCAGTTGTTCTTTCGAAGAAAAAAGATAATTCGTTTTCCTAGTTTCTTACTATGGGTTTATCTTCGCTCGGTAGATTAACTTTTCCTGTTCTCGTGGATGAAAAAGATGTATTGTCACTCCAACTCTGCCCTCCCCCATTAACGGATAAGCATGGACGGGGCGAGATTTGAAAATGTCGCCCTCCGTAGTTAAAACCCTTATTTAGTAACATTTACAGTTTCTATAGAAGCTATGTTTGGGCTAAAAGCTGTTCACGTAACAAACAGATAATGGCAGGTTATCTTAAGAGTATTAAGCTCTATGAGTGATATACAAGTATCGACAGTTTAGTAGCTTCTTTGCAAATGCCTCTTTAGCTAAATTAGGTCTTTGGAGGGTCAATAAAATCTCTAACAATTCTAATAACCCTTTTTTAGTCCCTCAAATTGCCCCGAATGGCCCATTTTCGCCCCATACATGCCTATTCGCAGAGAACGTAACGGACGAAAGGAAAGAACATGTTTGGGGGGCAGCGGGATAATACAATATGGAGAATACAAAAATGATGCACGAAAGAAAAACAAAATTCATCAATATATCTATAAAATAGAAACGTGATCTACGTACTGTTCTCTGTGACTAAAGGAGAAAGAACAATATATCTCTACATTGATGCTCTGGAAAACTGCCTGTACAAAAAATAGACCAAGGTTTCTTTCAAAGAAATAGATTTTCCTCGGGAAATATGGAGAAACATAAGTGGAGAAATGTTTTTTTTGAATTGGCCTGCCTATTTTTCTGCAATATAGGTTATCAGTATATGATATACGCAAGTATCCAGTCTTTTGTAGTGGATATTTTCTCTTCTCTGTCTGCCTATTCCAGAGGAAGAAAATTAAGTAGACACTCAAGAAAGGTATACCACAAGAATGTTACAAGAAAATAATGTCTTTACAATAACAATACAAAAAACCCCAACCAAAAAATAAAATAAATAATAAAAGGAACAAGAATTATTCAAAACTTTAATATAATCTCCCTTAAAAAAATACATTTCTAGTACTTTTTCTCTACGTATTATGTAATTATAATATTTTGTTCTTTTAAAGTATGCTTCTGCATCCTTTTTTCTTGCAACCCCCACGTCCCCACTAGGAACTGCAGTAGCTCTCTTCTAAAAAATTTATTCTTTCCTCTGGGACTTTTTGTTTCGGCTTTGTCTTTGTCTTTTCACAGAACAAAAAAAATCAAAATCAAATAACTTAATCAAAAATTCAACCTAAGTGACGTATGCAGAATAATAATATACAAAGGATAAGCAGGATTGTACAGCATATTGAATATCATGAACAAAAAATAGATTAGGATCAGCATACTGCCGGGTATTCTTCCAGGGTTATTGTTTTAAACTTTATTTTTAAGGTTTTTTAACAATCTACATGTAGAATAATAACGACGATTATGATGACGATAAACCTTAAATTATTCGCTTTTCTTATGCGTAATTTTTCGCATTCTAATGAATAATTATATCTTTCTTGACAAAGCAATTAAACATCAATATTGTTTTTGTTCGTTTTTCAATTCAAAATTCAATCGAATTAAGTTTATGCAAAGAACAGATCAAAAGAAACGAAGAAGGGAATATCGAATAAAAAAATTAACTCTATTATTAAAGATGATAAAATTTCCTTATTTTTTATTCCCCCCTCCCTTATTCAATAATGGTATCTAGCAGGTGTATTGGAGCAGTGATCACTTTCTACCTATTTATTTATTTTGTTTCTTTCAAATTGCCTTGGGAAAAAAAGTTCAAATATTCAATTTTTCCAATATTTGTCTTTTTAAATTTTATTCGTTTTGTCAACAATTGATTAAATAGATTATAACAACCAGAATATGAATATAAAACTCCTTCTTCATGTTGAAAATCTCTCCCATCTCAATTTAACATTCTACGCAACTCAATTTATGTTTATAGTATTATATTTGGACTATTATTATGGTGATTGCTTCCAATTGCCCATTGTTAAGTTTTTATTCTAATAATTTTTCAAAAGGACAAAGAGAGAAAGAAGAAAAAACACCGATGATTGTATTCTAATCTTTTATGATGGAATGTAATTATTTTGTTTACCTTTAAATTTCTATGGTTGTTGTTTATTTTTTGTCCCTGTTCTAAATGAGTCTTTCAGACCTAAATTTGTTTCAATATTATTCTTCTCCGTTTCTATTCTCTAGATTATTTATAAAATACCTTATTATTTTTGTTCCCAGTTTGTTTGATAACCACATAATGTTGCTGAAGGTCTATTTACTCTCTTTTTCTCTTCCTCTTGCGTTCACTGATAAACATGGACTCAACCATTTATCTATGCATTATCTTGGTCTTGGTAATCCTAAACCTTAATTTCAAACACAGTTATATTTGTTTTAAAAGAAGAAGAAAAAGAACATTTAATCTTCGTCGCCTTTCAAACTTAATTAATCATATATAAGGTGATAAAAAGTCACCCTAAATAATAATTCTAAATCCTTAAACCTTCTTTTCTTTTCTAATACTTTAATTATTCCATAATCTTAATTTATTTTGAATTTTTTTTTTTTGCTTTCTAGTAATTTTATATTTTTTTCCCTCATATCCTTTTAGTTTTCTTTGCATATTATTATAATTTAACTATCCACTGCTACATATTATTTAGCACCCTGACTAAATATTGGTCGAATTAAGAGAATAATCGTTGTAAATAAATATATATATATAACAAAGGTATACAAGGTAGAAAAAAAGTGTTCTAAAAATTTATTATACGTCCGTTATCTGATTATTAATTAATATCTTTAACGATCTCAGACTATTTATTTTTATTATTAACGGTGTGTTTATCTAAATCTTTCATTTTTATTTGATTATCTTTAATAATTAATATTAACATTACTATTATTATTATTGTTTTTCACTCTATTTGGAGTATTGAAGTTACCAATACATTTTAACAACTACTATATTTTAAAGAAATTAAAAGATTCATATTATATTGTGTCCAGTAGTCTGTGTTTCAAATATTTCGACAGTACCATAATATTGTGTTGATTGAAATTATAAACTACCAAGAAAAATATACTTTTAAAATTATCTTGTCTCTCTTTTTTTTTGCCCCATTGTTATTAAAATTAAAGGTATAAAGAGGCAACCTAAATTACACAGAGATCCGCTACCAAATCCAATTATTACTTCTTATAGGAACTCGGTTACATCACCGATATTATTTTATTGAAATTATAAATCAGTTAAATTTTCATCTATTTGTTCATTCCTTTTATTTTTTACAAAATTACTATTATTACTGTATTATTATACATACATCACAAAGACTTAACACTATTATGTCACCAATCCCAGTGGAAACAAATACCGATTTGAAGAAATATTCAGTTAATTATGTTGTTAATCAATGTGGCTCTGGAGGATCCACTTCAGAGACTTCAAAATCTAGTAGTACTACAACATCAACTACTTCACCAAAATTAATAAATATTCTAAATTCAAATGGAGAGGGAAATACAGCTAAGAAATTAATTACAAAGACTTTACTTTTCCCACGCCCAACTGATTTAATAGATAAATCAAATTCAACAATTGTCCTGGGGAAACCAAGTAATGAAAGATCATATATTTTAACAAACAATATTACTGACTCAAAAATTCCTTCAATACCAAAAAATTTAATTATTCATACTTCAACAGAAAATTCTGAATCTGGTAGTAATACTTCGTCAGTTTTAAATAAATCAGAGGAATTAAATGTCCAACCTATTTCTATACCACAAGTTGCCTTAGATAACCAGAAGTTGAAACCTTTACAGATACCTGTGAGTAGACATACAATGGATCACGGTAGATCTATCGTAAATTCAAAATCGTATGAATCAATACATAGCATGCATTCTGCAAGAAGGGAATTGAATAATAATTTATTTTCAACAAGTACACCATCATCTTTGCCATCAATAGGTAGAACTAATTCCGTCTTTGTTAATCCTGTTAGAAATGACGAAAATTATTATTATCCAATTACAAAAATTCAGTTACCACCTGCAGGAGATGCAAATGAAGGTTACTATATAAAGGCTGTGGGATATCAACCATCTCATGATTTTGGTTATAACAGTATGTCAGGTACAAGGTATAACAGTATAGATTCCAATAGTAGTGACTTTGAAATAGGGAATAGGTTGAGACAACTAGGAAAAATACAGGAACCACAAGAAGATCCTCGCCAACAATATATAAATGTTCCTTATAGAGTAGGGGATATGGCAACTCAAAGCTCTTACCCAAGTAGTTACCCAGGTGGAAAATATCAAAGAAGTACCACAAATGGTTATATATCAGGACCAACAGCCTCGGTATATCGTCCTAATTCAAATATATCTATTCCTGTTCCACATATGTACCCTGAGGCGGTCACAAATAATTCTAATACTGGACCAGCGTATGACAAAATTATTAGAAGTATTAATAATGAATATACCCCCAATAATTCTCAATATCCCCAACCAATATATCAATTTAACCCTACAATCACTAACCCTCAACAACAACAACAACAACAACAACAACAACAACTTGTACAGTACCCAGTTCAAGAACATTATCACTATCAGTTGGGAACTGATAATCAGGATGTCCCTCATTATGGGAAAATTCCAAGCCATTTCCATAAAAAGAAAATAAATCAATGTAATATCTGTGGTAAAATATTAACAAGACCTAGTTCTTTACATTCTCACATGTTCGTACACACTGGTGATAGACCCTATATATGTAAATGGCCTAACTGTGGCAAAACATTCAATGTAAAAAGTAATATGAACAGGCATTACAAATTACACTTGAAGAGACAAGTTATAGACGACAAACTTGGAATCAAAAGAAATGAAGGGGATAAATTAATAACTGAAAATAAACCATATATTCTTTCGCACAATGAGGTAGGACGCTAAATAGACTGGAGCTGTTTTTATTACTCTTTCCTAATGTATTATAATATCTCTTACATTTTCCCTAGTTGGAAAATGAGAGGCAATTGACCCCCCACCCAACCACCAGATACCTATTTTCACTAAAAGAACGTAATTTTACTTATATATATATGCTATTACAGTGATATAAATAACAAAGTCCTGCGACTAATATGCTTTTTATGATTTTATGATTGTGATGTTCTTTAATAATATCTATAGTGGCCATAAGTCGCAATGAAAGAGAACAGTAAGAAAAATTAAAACATAACTTTAAATAGATTCGATATTTTTAAGATGATGAAAAGAAATTATTAGATGTTGAAACTAACTTCTCTAAAGTAGACTAAATCTAATAAGATAAGTTTCTGCTTAATAATCATTACTTACATTAATAAGATTTATATATAAACGATAAATATTTCTACTTTATATGCTATACTCTTTTTTGATTAATGTTTAAGATATAAAAATTGTAGAGAATCTGAGATGGAGGTTTTATCTTTGTTAGTTTCTGCAAGTTTTGAGCGTTTTAATTTGGACATGTCTGAAATATGATAATCCATCATTCTATTTTAATTATACATTATTTACAGATTGTAGGGCATTCAAGGTTCTGTACATATTACATTTATAACTTTACATATTTTCAACAGAAAATTAACCAATTACTACTATTTTTTATTTAACGGCACTCAACCTAATTGTCGTTTAAATCAAATGAGAGAAAAACAAAAACATAACGTAACGCGAGTAATACAATAAGGCGATACAACCCATTCTTTTCTTTCACAAGCACGTTTTCCATAGAATAAGCAATATAGAGCTAAAACCATTAAGGATATATTCTCCATTTTCTCTAAACCTATTGAACATTAGAGAATAAGTATACACATGTGTCATTAGATCGCTAAACTTTAAATAATATCTTTTTGTTGTTGTTAAATATTAGGGTACATAGATGAACGAATGAACGCATTATCATATATATCAGGGCATTTAACCCCAACTGGTCTGGTACCCCCAACCAATCCTCCTCTAAAAGAGAAAAATCATAGCATTACAACACCAACAGCCATAAAATCGGATACTAATATTCAAGAACAGATACCGTCTAAAATTACTACTTTAGACCAAGATAACCAACATGCATTAGAAGACATTACCACCAGACATACATATAATAAAAACAAAGAAAATTGTCAGAAGAAAATTGAAAACGAATCGATAGATGAATCGAAGCAAAAAATCAAAGGCATATCACTAATGAAATGTTTAATAAACTCGCAAATGATTCAATTCATTTGGATGCTAATAACATTCCTACCTACTTATCTAATTGTAAAGCCCTTACTTCTTCTGTGGGTTTTTGTTTCATTACCATTAACGTTAATAGAACATGGGATCAAACTACGAAATCGTCCTATCATGAAACTTACTACTATAGCATCTGAAAATAAAGTTCTAGAGCCCATAGCAGAAGAAGATTTGGCTAGTGGTGATGAATTTATATTTCAACGAGACACAATTAAGGGAACATTCATTAAATCAAATAGTAAACAGAGTAGTACAACTTCTAGCAAACTTCGGTATAGTACGCCCAATAGACATGAGAGGTCGGAGTTATTATCTGATACTACTAGTATAACTAGTAACGTTATGTTTGGATCAAAAAAAATGGGACGATTTCTATTCCCTAAAAAATTAATCCCCAAATCAATTAAATATAGCGGTCACAAGAAAACACTAGTAATCGATCTGGATGAAACACTAATTCATTCTGTCTCACGAGGAACAACTCATGTTAATTCGTCGCAAGGTCATATTATTGAAGTGAAATTTTCAATATCTGGTATATCCACCCTTTATTTTGTGCATAAGAGGCCGTATTGCGATCTCTTCCTAACCAAAGTAAGTGAATGGTACAATATTGTAATTTTCACAGCATCTATGAAAGAGTATGCAGATCCTGTTATTGATTGGTTAGAAACATCATTATCAGGGTCTTTTTCAAAAAGATTATACAGAAATGATTGCACTTTGAGAGATGGTGTTGGATATATTAAGGATTTGAGTATTTTAACCAAGATGCACCATTCGTCGAAATCATTCAGTCAGGAAGTGGGACTTAGCGAGATAATCATTATTGATAACAGTCCTGTCAGTTATGCAATGAATGTTGATAACGCAATTCAAGTCGAAGGTTGGATCAATGATCAATCTGATACAGATTTATTGAATTTAATTCCGTTATTGGAGTCCTTACGATACACAACAGATGTTCGAAATATTCTCTCATTGAAAAATGGGGAAAAATCGTTCAGGTCAAGCTAAATTATATTTTTGTACATATTACATGGACAGAGATCGATGGCATAACTCATCACAACATTAAGCTGTCCACTTTTTATTGTCACATCACATATAATATAATATTTATCAGTGCTCGAGAAAGAATACACCTATATGATTTATAAGATGATTATAAAATGATAGTAAAAGTAATGACTTTTTTTCTTTTCTTTATAGTGATATAATGCCAATATACAAGTACTACTATAAATATGCCGGGAATAATAAATATGCATGAATATATATATAAAAATTGGTACCCTCTAGTAATGAGACAAAAACTGGTGATGTGTTTAAGGGCCCAATCGAATTAAATGCTGTTCGATCAAAAAGATAATAAAACACAGTACAAGATATGAAATTGTTTTCAGTTCTCCAAAACTCGTTATATGCCTAGATACAATTTCATTCTCTCATAGACATAGAAACTGCAGGCTACCATTGGTGTAACTTTGATGTAACCAATACTCAAACCAACGTAGAAACCTCTCCACCCACGTTCCTTATAAATGATTGCTGCAATTTCAGAAATACTTTGAAATTTATGAGTGAACATATTACTTGGTGATAATGTACTAACTTGTAATCTTCTTCTAATTATTTCAAATGGGTAAGCTGCAGTTTGAGATAAAATACCTGCAAATCCGCCTGATATTAATTCTGCCCAAACTTTCAAGGGTCTCTTTTGTTTTCTTTCACGCAATTGAATTTCTTGTTCGTGAGAGAGAGGTTCTAAACAATATTGCGCAAATAATGGAGTCTTAAAGATGTCATGAATAAGGTCATGAGCAAAAAATGAGACACCTGCATATGGTATCATCCCTAACACAGTTGGCACGTAGCCTCTATAGAAGTTACTCCAATGAGCAAACCAACTAGGGATATAACTATTCGAAGATAATGTAACTGAAGCTGGTTCATGATATATTTTGTTCACAACTTCTGTAAGTTTCACTCTTTTATGTTCTGTCACATATGCAAGTCTAACACGAATTAAATCTAATGGGTACGTTATGAAGACACTACATAATCCTGCCAAAGAACCACTTGCTAGTCTTCTCCAATGTGTCTCATAAGAGCTTGACGGTATTAGGACGTTTCTTATTTGTTCATATGCAACAAATTTTACAGCTGCATAAGGGAAAATTCTTATAAGTGTAACAGAATGACCTTGGAAAAATCCTCTTATACCATCATTGGTTCCAATATGTTTTGCTGCTTGCATTAATCCTACTAAAGAACCTGAATATTTTGCATAATGTGGGTTAGATGTTTGGAACAGAATTTTAATTCTATCCAATGGCGCTATTAATGTCTTGGCACATGAACCAGATACACCTCCCGCAATCCCAGATCGTATCACATAGTCTACTGACTTCTTGTTTATTGGTGTTTTATTTGTATTTACATTTTCACTTTCATTTGCCTTTTCTGGCGGCGACCCTATTACATTTACCATTAAACAAACAGTAATATGAGAGAGAGAAAATGTTTAAGTATATGTAAATATAGCTTATTGCAATCGTTATCTTATTAATTATCTATATTGTTTAATTTATAACTATTAGTACGCAAATAGATTTCTTTTTTATAGTTTTTACTTAGCTAGTGTCCTAATCGTCGACAAAATGTTAAATCAATCAAGTATATTTATATAGGGAGGTATACTGTTGTTATCTTCCAACTCTCAAACTATTTAATGATCGTTCTTATCCTCCAGGTTTGTTGTTAATGATGTGTAAGTATGCATATCTGATTAAATTGCGGTATTCCGTTGTCTCCCCTCACCAACAAGGATGCCGACAATTTGCGCAATTAACAAACTCGCACACAAATCAAAGGGAAGAGATTGACAAATATCTGAAGAACAAAGGAGAGAGGGTTCTCTTTCCCTCTCTTTTAAACAGATTTCGCTTTCAACAAATTTCAGCCAATAAGGAAAAGAACGGCTTTCTACCACTACCCACCCCTTTTGATTACTTTAATGACTTTTACAGTCACCTCGAAGGAATCAACAACAACAAGATTTAGAAATGACAATTGTGATGATTCGGGAAGATGAAATGAGAGGGGATGTTCCTTTTACTATTCAATGTAGGAATTTTGATCTGAGTTACCTCTACGGCATCTGTAACTTTGTTAACCTGTATTATACAATATATACCCAAAATTTCTTATTCTCGATATAATATATCGTTATCTCATCTCTACCCTTGGAGGATCTCGTGGTGCGAAATATTGGTAATAACATACATTTTAAATAAGTGTAAATGCAAAATAATAGAAAAATTATAGTGTTACCATTGCTTGATATAAAAACTTATGTGTATAAGAATATTAATATGAACGTGATAAATAATTCTTGTGCGCTGGCAACGAGTAAAATATCATCGAAGTAATACTTCAGAAAGTCAAATGTAATTATACACATGTAGCTAACCAATAGATTCGTCAAATATATACCAACTTATTTTCTCCATATAACTTCGAGATTGAGGACATTTTAACATTTCCTTTCTCGACAGCTTCTACTCTGGTATATCTCTTTGACTGTCACTCTAAGTAGTATTATCAAATCTGGTTCTACATTTAACACTCCTGCTAACGCTACAATATGGACTGACACCTGTCACCGGAAGGTCAATACGGTTAAAAATCAAAAAAAACGTATAAGCTTGCCCCACGTCCTTCTGGGAAGCGATCATGAGACACTCGTTACGTTTTGATAGTCAATCGTCAAAATGTTCTTAAGAAGCAATTGGTTGACCAGGCCTTCGTCAGATCGAACACATCGATTATACCGATATATTCGCTCGTGTGATTTGTTATGGTTCGGTTAGGCTTTTCCTGGCATTAGTTACCTGTCAAAACATTGTTGTTCGGCAGATCGACGTCAGGACTGTCTTCATAAATTCTCCTATAAATAAACCTATATATATATGTTCATCCACTACCCAAACTTGTTGACTGCAATTGTCATTTTGATAACAATTTGCCCAAGATGTTATTGTATTGGTTGCCCTATACGTTAATGAATTTCTTATTGCACTTCGTAATTCAACTCTCATGTCACGTATCAAAAGTCAACTATTGGAGACATATTCCATGAAGGATCTTGGTTTTTTTAAGATACATTGAGTCATGAATCTTTGTAAAACTCAGGGTCGGCTCACTTTTTCCTTGTGCAACTATATTACTCAAGCTTTTGAAACCAGTAGCATAGTTTTAGACAGATCTGTTAGCACTCCGCTAACCAAGTCCCTTGATCTGTATCTTACCAATTCATTTAAACAGAAAGACATAAATGTGTATCAAAGTATTATCCACCAATGCTATTCATTTCAAATAATGGTCGTCTAGGTGTCATATATGCGGTTTTGATCCTGTCCTGTTTTCTAAAGGATCTTCATATTACTCATTCTCGTGGTCTAATAAATAATAAGGGTCCCTTCTAAAATTGTATATTCACTCAGATGCCTCTCAAGGTCCTACATATGATCTCTCATACTCTTTACAGGAGGTACATTACTTGGTTAGCTGAGGTTCTTATTGCATGGTGTTCTAAAAATATTCGTAGTACTGTTACATTGTCCTCTACGTAAGTTACACATATTTCGCAACATGTGAAGCGGTAACTAAAACTGAATGATTTATTAATATGAGCACATTATAAATATTTTACTACCAATCCCAATATTATACTTGGACAATGAACTAGAAAAAATCATTACTAAAACCTTGTTATATACTCAAAAATCAAGGATAGCGCACATCGGAATGGCTCATCAATTGGCTCATCAATTGGCTGATCTAACCACAAAGTATTTGCCATTTGGAATAATTGATTCTTTAGTGAATAGAATCTTATCGGACATTGCTTGGTAATATCTGGGGTATGCTAATATGGAGTATCATAATTTACTACTACTTCAACCGTTCCTCATATTCATTTCTTCGATTACGTAACTGTTGTACAGCTTCTCATTAAGTTTTCCATAAAACAATTCTGATCCTGTTAAATCCCTTTCTGATAATCACTTACATTTACAAATAAAAGAAATGGGTAAACGTTAGCGTGGAAGTCTGCTATTTATCAAATATAACCATCCAAGGGATCACTTTAATACTCTAAGAAAGTTTCAACGATTTCCGTTCATTCAGTTCTCAACAAAATCATCGCAATGTATTAATAAGAATAGACATTCAATACTCAACAAGGGCCTTCTGTAATTCCTAAAGAATGAAATAATAGTAAGTCAGACAAAGTATGTCAAGACTACTACTTCTCATTTGTAGCTTCCCTCATACATAACTTATTGGCCTTAATTCTATAACATATACATTTCTAGCCTCCACCTAACAATAAGGAACAAAAAAACGATAAAATATATCAAACTTTAGTAATCATGTGATATAATATTTATTTTTCTCTGAATTAATTTTTATTTAAAGTTTTATTTTGTACACGCTATCCGAACTAATAATTATAAATATAATTACTATTTTAATAACGATGTGGTTTTCCTTTGAAAAATTTATTATAGATTAAATATTTATTCTTTAGGAACATGAAATTATATGGATATTGACACAAATGATCTAATATATACTTTGTTATTAAATGGTACTTTATAAAGTTCCATTTTTTTCATTTAATAAGTAAATAGAATAACTTCATATTTAGATACTTTCTATAATTCCTCGAAGTAAATGTACAATATACTTGGGGCTAAGGTAACCATAATTTTGATTTGGCTCGAGAAGAGAGTATCTATTAAATATAAGAGAAGTGTGTAATGCATAAGTGGTCCTAGTATTGACGGTGAGATATCAAAAATTATAAAGTGTACACAACAATTTGTTAAATGGATTCCACTATTATCCAAGCCATGAATAGTAGTAGTTTAATGCGACAGCGAGGGCTTAATCAGTATATCATTTAAGAAACTCGCTTAAGTCTGCTGGAACAGTTCCACAATATAACAAGAATAAATAGTATGGCCCATATTGGGGGGCACATGAAGTAGAATATTGACGAGAAGTTATAGTGTTAGTTTCAAGCTGGAGGGCTATGATATACTTTAAGTATGTAAGCACTACATGAGAATACAAATTTGACAAAAGGATCTTTCAGACCTAAATATACATAATCTAGCGCAATAATTAAAACAATTTTACAACCGTTGGCACTAATTATTAAAATATATTATAAGTGAGAATGATGTCCTTACCAAAAGTGTGGGTATTCGTAGTACGCTCTTCTAAACTTACGAAGGAACAATCTTTACAAAACTTTACAAAACTTTTTGTATGAGAAGGGTCCTACCTTCGGTGAACCTGAATGAACACTACTCACCACCTTTTTTCTCTGACAGTTATTAAAATTGTGGCAGGTTAGGTTTATATATTCTTAGTTTAATATAGATATTATTGAAATTTTTTAGTTTTATTGTTTACTCGAGATATTCCAATATTAAGAATTATATAGAATTAAAAAAATAAAAAAATAAAAAATTTGAAATAAGGGTGATCATAACTTTAAAAAATAAATTACAGAGAGATCGTAAATTAAATTCATCAAATTACCTATCTCATATTATTAATCGATATGGATCTGAATTATTAAAAATTTTTCTTTTAAAGTGCATTCCGCTTTGATAATTTTAGTATTTATTAAAGGTTCTAAGTAATATGTAATATATTCGTCGTTTTGTTAAAATCCGTATTAAAATATACGCAAAGTAGTATACCTTGATGTTTTTTCTTTTTGTAAACCTTTGTATTTAGATACGTTTGGTATGAATTTAATTTCTTGTATATCCTAGAATCATTTCTTCTTGAATCAAGCGGGATAAGCCAATTCTGTTATTCTCAACGACTTATATCTTGTCGCATAGTTTTTATTCACTTGCTCATTAATAAGTTAATGTTATTGCTGAATAGAAGACTAGGAGTTTAGCACTAATATATATTACTCGTAATTATTATTATTAAATATATCCAAGTTCTTCTCCTTTCTTTCGAAAATTCGATGTCAACCTTTCTTATTTGATCTCTAAGAATTTTTGAATTAGATATCTATATTACTCCGAGAATTTTACCGCTATGAAAGAGGAAATATATGTTATATTATCAAAAACTAGTGTGTAATACAGCTAAATACCATTTACCGATGTGACCTTTTTTGGGCTTATCTATCTCTGGATCTCACAAAGGTAAAGCCCATTTATAATCCTATATTCAAATTAGGGTTAACCAATGATCTAATTTTAAATGACCTAAAAATATTAAAGAAAACTATATATAAAATATACTTTTATATACAAATGAAAAATCGGATATAATATATAAAATGCGTATGTGTTGTCTACCTCACAGTGAGACAGTTTAAGCCTTAGCTAGAGTCTTCTTGACAGTGTATCTCTTTTGCTTTCTTAGAACCATAACTTGGAATCTTTC